ATTTCGCATAAAAATGAGTTTATTCATAAATTTTCAGAGGATTAATATATACATCTTTTTTTTCATTTATTCTTGTTTATATTAGTTATTATGTTACGTTTATTAATATTCTATTCAAAAATAATATTATAACTGCAAGTATATAAAAGTCTCAATAAGTTTTAAAAAGTCCATTATGAAAGTCTTAAAAAGTCACTAATGAAAATTCTCTGAAAGTCTTAAAAAGTCCACCAAAGTCATGAAAGTTCTACAAAGTCCACAATAGTCATCAAATTTAAAAAGTTATAAAAAGTTCTCAAAAATCTCAATTGAATACACCCTCCTAATACGACAAAGGACATTCATCTCCAAAATTTCTGTCATGTTATTGTAAAGACAACATTTTTTCCCTGAAATTCTTTTCGATCAGTTGATAAAACCTGTTTTCTGCAACACGGTGCGGACCGACGCAAATCCCAGCCCTTCAGCGTCCTCTTGGCATCCTCGAGCAGCGAGAACATCACGTGCGGCCTGCCACCGTCGTCCTCCTCCACCTAGCCGGAGCCCTTAAAATTCTTCGGCGACGCCAGGATGTTCACGGGTACCCATTGTCGAAACTTTGCTGGAGTATTGCTATCCCCCTGCCGTAACTGTTTTGGGATGGCCATGGGGCTGGATTTCCGGCAGACGGGGAGGTGGGCGTCCTCCGAGAGGAGGGCGGAGATGCCAGATCTCTCCGGATTGAAACGACGACGGTCGTCGATGGAGACGGCGAATGACCAGACGACGTCGGTCTCGTGGAGCTTGAGCGGGTCGCCATCACGGGTCGGGTTGAATCGGACGGGCTCGGGATTTCTGGCGAGCCCGATTAAGCAGAACGTGGGGGGAGGAGGTGGGCGGTGTACAGGTGACATGCCGGCAAGAATACCTCCATTGTAGAAAACCCTTGTTTTTCTAGTGAAGAATGCGGATGTTGTAAATATTTTCCGGAGTAGAATCGAAAGATTCGAACACCGGGTCGTGTCTCACGAGGAAGGTTAGCCGAATTATTTTGTACGATTATTCAAACACAAACAATGGAAAATAAAAGGAATAAAACATTCTAGATCAATGTTTGGTTGGTTTTGAATTATCAACTATTGCAAGAATTAAAATAAAGCAAGTAAATGACTAACGAGCACGCAGAACAAATAGGATTTAAGGAGCTAGGGAGTCGGGGATATCCGTTTTGGTTCGAGATGCAATTATCAAGCAAGCAATTGTTCGGTTAAGTGAGTTGACTAACCGGCACGTTCAAGTACTCATTCTTAATAACTTTTCGTAACAAGAGAACAAACTTAAACGACCAACTACCAAGTCATTTAACACCTAGGCAATACAATTACGAACAAGCCTAGTTTGTACGGTCCTATTTCGACCGACTCCTCCCCTTTCGGTTTTAAGAGTCGATAAAATTGAACTTGAAGGTGATTAGTCAACTAGCCCGTTTAGAATTAACAACATCAAGCATTTATCAAATCCAATTGAAACAATTGAAAATTGAAGTGTCACTCTTCAACAATTATCAAAACTCAAGAACAAATAGTCGAGAACCCTAATAAGATTAACTCGCACAAAGTGAACAATCTTAAGCCCGATAATCGCAAATGAATTCAAAACATCGATCCCCTAATCCCTAGCAATTGAATTTAGCTACTCATATTCAGATAATCGACACAATCATCCATAATCGAAACGAATAAATCCCTAGATTAGATATAACGAAAAACTTACAATTAATGTAAATTGGATGATAATCCGGTAAACAAGATTAATCCGAGAGAAATAGCGAAATCCAAAATCCGATCCGTGTTCTACGTGCAAAATTAACAAAAGAAAAGGAAAAATATCGTTCTCTTATGCTCTGGAATGAAAAATAAAATAGAAACCTAGGCTGCCCGATCCAAAAACGCATCACATGAAATCTGCTCTTTTAAATCGGAAAAACGCGCAGGTCGCGGCCGCGGAGAGGCCCGCGGGCCGCGGCGAAGATCGGCTCCGCGGCCGCGAGATGTCCCATGGCCGTGAGATTTTGGCTCTGAAGCTTTGGGTTGTTGCGGTCCATTTGCTCGCCGCGGCCGCGGTGAAGGAAAGCACGCGGCCGCGGCGAGAAGATTGGCAGGGTGCCGCGGCGTGGAGGAGCACCACGACGCGGGAGGAGAGCTTGCCACGGTGCGTCGTCGCTTCGCGGCGCGACGGGATGGGATGGCACGGCGCGAAGGTCTCTCACGGCGTGGGGCTTCCGATACGGCGCGGCGGGGCCGTTATCGCGGCGCGAGGCAAGAAACACGGTGCGGTAGGAGGCTTGCAGCGGCTGTGGTGCTGTTTGTGATGAACTGTTGCCCGGCGGACTTGACTTCTTCTCGCTTAAACGTCACCGGTGGGATGCTGCTCGTGAGCTTCTGGATGTGGTGTCGGTGGTCGTCTTACGACTTTGCTGACCGTCGGCTTGTGGGTGGGGAGGCTGGGCTGCGCGTGGAGGACGTCTCGCTACGGAATGGTAGGTGCTGGTGTAAATCGAGCTTGTCGGAAGAGGTAGCATGTTAATCCCCGTTGGAATTCTCTTAATCTTGTAGATAGAGATATGTCGAACGATTCTTGTTACTACATTCGGTGTCTCTGGCTCGACTAATGCTTTACTTTTTGTTTAGAGTTCGTTAGCTTAGAAACCGAATTTGACTTCGTCTCTTGCCAAATCATATTCCTCCTCTATATATCAAAATCAGCTACGGACTTAACCTGCACACCACACGAGACGACAACAAAAAACGAAGAAAAAGAAGAAAATAACCGAAAAACACAAGATGATTCTAAATAAATAAAAACATACGAAACGAAATAAAACGGACCAACACTAAAGGAAAAACACATAAAATGGGGGAAAAAGACAAGGAAAATAATCAAGAAAAACGTAACAAAAATGGGACAAACAGCAGATATAAGTGAAAATTGTAAGAAAAAGTTGGGACCAGAAAAATGGGCGGGGGAATTGGGATAAAATTTGGCAACTGGGTGTAAGGGTAAAATAGTATTTGTACATGCTAAAATGGCTAAAAAAATATCTTTTTTACAAAACATGGCTAAAATTCATCTTTTGTGAATTTAAATGGCTATTTAGTGCTATTAACACAAAAAAAATTGGTTACCTCCACTAAAGGAAAAAAAAGAAACGTGTAAAATAATATGAGAGAGAGATAGAGAATGAAGAGATAAAAAAATCTGACAGAATTTTATTTGTATTAAATTAAATCTTAAAAAAAGGCATATTTTTTAAAAGGCAAAATTGCATATTAATACACCACCTTTCATGTTTTTACAATTTAATCAGCACCTTTGTAATTTAGCAATTTAATACACCACTTTGACTATTTTTTGCAATTCGAATCACAGGGCCCAATTTCGGGCTTTTTGTGCTGACATGGCATTTTATGGCTGACGTGGCGTTGACATGGCATTCAGTATATCAATGACATGGCGTTTTTCGCTGACATGACATTCCATGTGTAAATTTGTTATAAAAAAAATTATGTTGGTCATGGGATTTGAACCTAGGATGTGAGAGTTGCATGATAACTCTTCCACCACCACACCAATCCAAATTAGGTGATAAATTTGACAGCGTTTTATATATATAGACATTACATATGAATAAATTAAATCAAATTTAAAAGATAATGTAAATTATTAAATTAATTAATAAAATATAAATTTATAATAAATAAATAAAATTAAACGAAAATAAAATAAATTAAAATAAACAAGATAATTAAAATATATAATTTTCTTAATTCATATTTTATTTTAGAGTAAAACATATTAATAATATTTGATAAATAATATTTCATATTTCATTATATTCATTTAAATTTTTATTTATTTTAGTTTAATGTTTCATAATAAGCTCATATATTTATTATTTTATTTTATTTTATTTTACTTTATCTTTTTTTATATTATATTATTTTTATTATATTAACGGTGTAGTTTAGTTTATTTTTAATTTAAGTTTACGTTATTATTTTTCACTTCAAAATTTATATAATTAATTATATTTAACAAATAATATATATAAAATTAATTTAATTAAGTTTAATCATTTTACTACAATACTTTTTATCTTAATTTATTTTATTATTTTATATTTTTTTATTTTTTATAATTAAACTTATTTTAGTTTATATTTTATTATTTTAATTTAATATAATTTGCATTATCATTTAAATTTAATTTGATATATATAAATGATTATTAGAATCACCAACTAAATTTGATTGGTGTGGTGGTTGTAGAGCTACAATGGAAGCTCAATGTCTAAGGTTTGAATCTCTTGACCAACAATTTTTTTATTTCAATTAACACGCAGGACGCCCTGTCAGCAAAAAAAACCATGTCATTGACACGTGGAACGCCACGTCAGCCATAAAATGTCATGTCAGCACAAAAATCCAGAAATTGGGCCCTGTGATTCGAATTGCAAAAAATAGTCAAAGTGGTGTATTAAATTGCTAAATTACAAAGGTGGTGATTAAATTCCAAAAACATGAAAGGTGGTGTATTAATATGCAATTTTGCCTTTTTAAAATCTAACCACGTCCATAAAAAAACTAGAATTGAAAACCAAAAGGAGTCATGTTGTCTAAATAATATGTGGGGCTCTTAACGTAAAATGTTAAAACAAAGGGATAGGGAGGGTCATTTATTCGCTGTCAAGTATTTATAACCCAATGCAAGGCCCAGAAGAGAAATTGACAGGAGCCCAACATGCATAATGGCCCAAATCTAATAAAGTAAGTGCATAATAGTCTTTAATGCAAGTCATCATCTTCATCATCTTTCTTTCACATCGTACATCCGCCATGAGAGAGCATAGAGCTTCACTGCACGTCCACCACCTCGCCGCTGCACCATCTCGACGTCGATGCTTCTCGCAGACCAGAGCTCCGACCAGACCACCGCCCGTCGTACTGACTTCAAACACCATGTTGTCCGCGCCGGAGAAGAAGCTGCTGACGCCAGGCTGAGGAGAGGTGGCCGGAATCTGTCATTTCCGACAAACTGGAGCACGTCCGATCACCTAGGGGTTATCTGGGACGCCGGAGAACCTACCAGGAACCACTTTCTGCACAGAGAATTAGATTTGGAGCTGTTTTGAACTCCCAGACTCACACGAGTCGTGTGGAGCAAGACACGACTCGTGTTGTTCCGACGGGTCGCGTAACTTGGTCTCAACTTTTTCACACGACTCGTGTGAATGGTGACACGAGTCGTGTGACTCTGGGCGCAGCAAAATCCGGTTTTACGCGTTTTTCCTATTTTTTCGGTGTTTTCGACCTATTTCGACTAGGACTCGACCCCATCTATTTAAGAGATACTTGGACATGTTTTTTAAGAGTCTGGGACCTAATATTCAGATCTTTGGAGAGTTTTGGAGGCTAGAAACACGAGCAAGACGAGGGAAAAAAACCGGGGAAGAAGGAATCGATGGAGCCGAATAAGCTTTTTCTTTTCTTTTCTTTTCCTTTTTCGAACTCAATCTTTTATATTTATTTTTATTTTAAAATCATGTTTCTAGGCTAGATTTACTTTGGATTCTAGGATTTGTTAGTACTCAGATTGATTTATGATTCAGTTTTTATTTATCTCATTCTCGTTTATCTTTCGTTTATAAATTTCTTGTGCTTATTATTATTGTGTGAGTAGACGGCCGCTATGAATGCATATTTGTAATTGATTTGAGACTGAGAGGAGATAATTGATTGCTAGAATTGAGAGATTTATAACGTAAGAGAATAAACAGACAGAGAGGTTGATAGGACCTTGAGAGAGAACGAAAATCCTAGGAACTTATGGGAGTTAGTTGTTCATCTTAAGACCG